TGACAGGACGGACTCACGGACTTCGTGCGTGCTTTTTGTAGCTTCACGAAGAGGAAACGGAAAACCGACTGGTGCTTCACGATCTCCGAGCCAGTGCTTCCCCTAGCGATAGAATACAATCTCATTTATATTTATATGCAGCGCCTTCACTCAAGGCGCTTGATGGCAAAGCTCACAAAACGATGATAGAATGGAATAATCAACTTCGTTCGTATGGCCGATGTAGATGCAGAGCAACGGCGACAATTTCACATCCAGGTGGTCAAGCCAGACAACTTGCGTCAACAGCGGAGGAGATGTGTCGCTGCGATGGCTCCATCGTTATTGGTGGATCGGGCGTTGCTTCGTTATACGTTGCTTCGTTATACGTTGCAATGTCTGTTCCGGATGACCACCGTTGCACACTTAAGACTTTTAATTTTTTCCATTTGTGCATCGGGTATCCGCATCTGCTGCCATGGTTTGTGCAGTGGATGCAGTTTAGGGTGGACCACGAGCTTCGTGGAAGATCAAACCCCAGGGATATTCTGCGTTGCGTCTTTCACAAGGCGTTTGCGAGTTCTTTTGAACTCAATTTCAGCTCTCCAAGCGTCGTCAGGAGTTAAATCTGCATTGTTGAAAGGGAAGCGCACGGGGGTCCAAAAGGGGCTTGCGCGACTTCAATCGTAGGGGTCCAAAAGGGGTTTGCGTGACTTCAATTGTAGGGGTCCAAAAGGGGCTTGCGTGACTGCAAGCGTAGGGGTCCAAAAGGGGCTTGCGCGACTTCAAGCGTAGGGGTCCAAAAGGGGCTTGCGTGACTTAAATCGTAGGGGTCCAAAAGGGGTTTGCATGACTGCAAGCGTAGGGGTCCAAAAGGGCTTGCGTGACTTAAATCGTAGGGGTACAAAAGGGGTTTGCGTGACTTCAAGCGTAGGGGTCCAAAAGGGCTTGCGTGACTTAAATCGTAGGGGTCCAAACGGGTTTGCGTGACTTCAATCGTAGGGGTCCAAAAGGGCTTGCGTGACTTAAATCGTAGGGGTCCAAAAGGGGCTTGCGTGACTTAAATCGTAGGGGCCCAAAAAGGGCTTGCGTGACTTAAATTGTAGGGGTCCAAAAGGGGCTTGCGTGACTTAAATCGTAGGGGTCCAAAAGAGGTTTGCGTGACTTCAATCGTAGGGGTCCAAAAGGGGCTTGCGCGACTTCAAGCGTAGGGGTCCAAAAGGGGCTTGCGTGACTTCAAGCGTAGGGGTCCAAAAGGGGCTTGCGTGACTTTTAATCGATGGCAAGGGGACGTTCGCGAGGTCCTGATGAATGGCAAGGCGACTGTTGTCCTCGATTCGCAGGACTTCCCGCAGGGTTGCAGCGGACGGGTGGGGGCAAGAGACGTGCGACAGCGCGGGCAGCTAGGTTACTGGGGTCGACTTGAGGGTAGGCGACAGTGTATGCAGTTGACAGGGGGGCGTACAAGGATTGAGGAATGAGTGACAACGTTGTAGGGTACTTGGGGACCGTGAAAGGGGGAGGGAGGGGAATGAGCGGAGTGGCAAGAGGAGGGAAGATTATGGGCAATAGAGGCGATGATTTATCAGAGGAGGTTAAGGAGGGGGGGGGGCTGCTTAATGTGCAAGGGAAGTTTATTCAAATGGAGAGGTTGCAAGGAGGGAGTGGGCCCGTGAACGGTACTGGGCACAGGTAGAATTAGGGACAGAGAGAGGATTGGGAACGAAGAGGACGAGAGGAGGAGGGGGGGGAATGGAAGACAATGAGAGAGGCGAGATGAGGTGGGGGAGTGGGCGGGGTGGCAAGGCCACGAAGATATGATTAAGACTATAGTAGGGCATTTTAAAAGGCAGCGGTCGTGGAGTAAACGGTGAGCCGATGGAGTTGGAGGGGAGACGAAGTGTTAGAATTAAAGGAGAGATTGAAAAATAAATCGGGGCAGATGCACGTAGGGTACACGAACAGATGCTCCCTCCCTTTCACTGGCTGCCCACAACGCGGCCACGCGTGTCCCGCAGTGCACGTGCGATTCTATATCGTCCGGACAAACAAACACCGCCGTCGGAAAGAGAAAAACGAATCTTTATTACGTGTTTTTAATGTTGCGAAACATGAGAGCGGCAGTAAATGTGTCCAACTGCACTCTGACCACGCCCCCACCCCCCACCCCCAATCTGCCCGAGTTTGGTTCATTTGTCGCGCACAACACGGAGGAATAAGGATTTGCAGTGATTGGGCGCTGGAATGCCCCCTTAATCTGGGTGCGCCTTACATCACATCTCAAATCGATCATCGCAATGCGCAGCTGTAGTTATCGCCTTTTAGTCGAGGGGACGCCCTGATTCACAGCTGTCCCTGTGAAGCAGGTGGTGACGCAGCACTGGCCTGCAAGCGGGCACGAGTCTTGTCAGTGGAGGGCGATGCTACGATTGGTCATTCCAAATAATGATTATTTAACCATTCAAATTTGGCCGATTTTTCACCCGTGGCGCTTACATGGCCGTGCCATCTTTCTGAGAACGTCACGGGACCTTTCAATGTCCACTGCGATGTGGACGAAACGCAGTTGTATTTCATGGTCGATACAAACGCAGTATTCGCCAGGGTGGCCAGGGGATTGAACCGCAAACCTCTGAAACAATAAGCGGCTTAGGCTCCACGATGTCACCGCCCTCCACCTCTCTCCCTCTACCAGCGGCATTTTTGGCAACTGATTTTAATATAGATCCCGTGTGGGTTTAACCGGTCTAAAATTAATGGCTGTTGTGTATCAACATCGAGAATCGTGAAGGCAAAGGCAGACCAGGTGTGGTGCTGGCCTCAACGGTTCTAACCATAACAGGTGCTTGCAAACAGCACTTAACCCCGTACCCCCATCAGTCCATTCAGAAGGCAAACCTCCGTATATAACTGTGTTCCACGCTGCCATGTATGTATATCGTTGAACACTTCCAACGCATTAGGCAAACTACATTTTGATTATATCACCAGGCGGCGGAGGCATCAGAAATCCCCCCCCCCCCAAAAAAAAAACACCTCGACAACAACACAGGTTTTTCCTCGATCTGCGGCGGCAGCCGTAGCAGAGGCACGTAAAGTGAAAGAGCACGGGTAGCACACACAGTGAACACACAATGTTGTTTCTCTGTATATATCTGTGTGCCTATCTGTGTGCGGGTCAGCTACCTGCCGTGTAGCGCACGCAGTACACAAACCATGTATTTTTGTATGCGTCTCTGTGCTTCTACCTGTGCAAGACAGCTGCCTGCCATGTAGCGCACACAATACATGCACAATGTCGCCCCCAAGTCCGACCGCATAGCTGCATACGAGTTAATTAAAACCGCGTGCTATTCTGAATTTTGGGTATAAATCGGTTAGCCGCATTATGCAGCGCGAAATCGCGCAAACCGAACCCGCGTAGAGCGAGGGAGGAACCTGTGTGTGTGTGTGTGCGAAGAATCACCTTTAAAAAGACTGGCACGCCATCCAAAACCGCATGCGTACCCACATTACTCAGCATGGCTGTGCAACAATAAAAACACACCGTGACCTTTTTCACGTGCAACTGTGGAAAAAAGCAAACGTGCAGACGTCACACAGGTGGCTTGTGTGTCACACACTCACGCAACCACGAGCTAATGGACATCATAGTGGACTGACTTCATTGCCTGCTTTTACAGGCGACGGTACTCCACGGTAAACAATTCCCTACAAAGAGGTCCTCGGCTGGGCAGCCGCAGCGGTAAATGGAACGTTTTTGATAGTGTAAATCGGTCCTGGTAGCTAGCGTGTTGGCCACGTAAGGTGCACACACTCGCAGCAAAAGTAGAACGTCGTCACCGAGGCCATTCCCTCACTGCTGCTGTGCAGTGTCGCATGCTGCCGTTTTCTAGCGACCGCGTGGCGATACAGAGGACTGGGCCAATCACCGATGGCTGCGATGTCATATCCTGCTCGACCACCCCCTCCCCCGCCCTCACCACCTCCGGTCATCCACATTTCTTCAGAAAGCCATGTCATGGGAAAGCACCGCAACAGGATATGACATCACAAGGATGCACGGTTGCCGGAAGTGACATCACATCACGACGTGATCGCCATATGAACCTTAAGGCGGGACCCCGGGGTCCGCAATAAAACGGAGGTCAAAATCGTAATTAGTTAATTTATTTTTGGCGACTCCGTCCCACCACACACAACCGCCACGACCCACCTGGCGCGGATCGTTCTGTTGTCGTGTCGTCCAAGCGCAGCGAGGACGAATGCGCAGAAGAAACAAAACTTTTAAACTTTGATTAGCGCATCGTGTAGATGCTCGTCGAGAGGAATAGACTGCCGTATCGTTCGCCTTCAACAGACATAAAATTAAGTCGCAACGCAGCTCATGCGAGAGCCGGAGGCTTATGGACTCCGGGGTCCTGCAGCAGCAGTGACGAACATTTTAATCAGACTTTCAAACACCTTTTTTTAGGCCTGGTTATCACTGCGGGCATTTTTTATTGCAAACTTATGCACCGTCTGCTTCACAATGAACGTTGTTAAAGATACCCTGATGTAATTCGCAAGAGTCGATGCCTTGACGTCATTTGCATTTATGTGCTGGTGTCATGGACCAAAAATTTTTAAAATGACACCGCAAAGCATTCTGTTGAAATATACATGACAACCATCGCCCTCTACTGTGAAAACTTGGTAGGACCCTCCTTTAAACGAGTCATGAGCCTCGGCGAGGTATTCCTGCATAAACAAGCATAGCAATTGCCTTTAGATGGCCACACATTCATACACACACACGCACCTGAGCGCACACAAAAAATCCAGTGTTATTGGCAGATCTAAAAGATGCCAGGAGTACCTGACTGGTGCAGCCACGAGGCTTTCAGTGACAGATAAAACGTCGTTTGCGTGCAATTCGAAGTTTTAATCGATCACCGGTGCGAAATCGCCAGTTTGAACCAACAACTCTCAAGGTTGAGATATGCTCTCTGTAGAAATCGTGCCGTAGAGTGTGATTTTTCTTTTTTTACGAGCCTTGGGTCAAACCCGCCGTCCGGGTTTCCTTCCGTGGGAAGGCGGCGGAGGCAATCACATGCGCGTGTAGGTGTAGATGTTGGCCTTGCAGTTGGGGCACCGGTGGCGGACGTCGTGGCAGGAGGGGATGCACAGGGGGACGAAGCAGAAGAGCAGCGGTCTGGTGGTGGAGAGAGAGGAGGCGGAAGTTAAGGCGAGAAAGGTGGCGGAGAGTGGGTGGGCGAGTGGTGGGTTGGTGAGGGAGTGGGTGAGTGAGTGAGTGGGTGGGTGAGTGAGTGGGTGGGTGAGTGAGTGGGTGGGTGGGCGAGTGGTGGGTTGGTGGGCGAGTGGTGGGTTGGTGAGGGAGTGGGTGGGTGGGCGAGTGTTGGGTTGGTGAGGGAGTGGGTGGGTGGGTGGGTGAGTGAGTGAGTGGGTGGGTGAGGGAGTGGGTGGTGGGTGAGTGGTGGGTTGGTGAGGGAGTGGGTGAGTGGGTGAGTGAGTGGGTGGGTGGGCGAGTGGTGGGTGGGCGAGTGGTGGGTTGGTGAGGGAGTGGGTGTTGGGCGAGAAAGGTGGCGGAGAGACGGAGGCAGGCCAAGGGCGGAGTAAAAACAAACCGTGCCACTGCTCGGCAAGTTCAAGAATATCGCACGAATGCAATACAATTTGTATGGTATCAAATGCTTTCATTTTGTATGAATGTTGTGTCGTGATATTTGAAACAAAATGCTTCAGTTACCTATCCCTGTTCTGATATTTCCTGTCACTGATGTCAGCCATGGCCGGGAATCTGACACCGATAGCAATATGCTAACCACCGCACCACCACTCTACCCATTATTTATTATATACATATGGTCTGATTTAATACTCAATTCCCACCGATAACTATGACAACATGACCGTGCACATCTTCCGATTGCTCAGCATTATTGGAGAAACCCACAGTACCTCTATGAGCCAGTAGAGGGAGCAATCAGCACGCGTGTGCCAAGTGAAGTGGAGAGCCGTGGCGCCGCGCTCAGCGCGCTACGAACCCTGCGACACGTGTTCGATTCCCGCTCGTGGCGTAACTAGATTATCAGCTCAGGGGACGAGCCAATCGGTCAGGTGGGGGTCCCAATATTTGATTTCGTTTCGCACGGGGAATCGCTGTCGAAGGCTCGCTGGCAGGAGGACACGGGACGGACTCAGGTGCCACGGGTTGACTGCTTGAGCCGACTTGCAGATGCTCCCACTGCGTTTTAACCACCTGGCGTTCTGCAAGATGTGTGCGAGCGTCGCATACATAGGCACGCACGCACACACACACACACGCAGAGGCAACGCGTGACGACTCACATCAGCAACACCAGGCCGGCGAGGAACAATCCGCCCACTATGAGCCAGGCGAGCAAGCCTGGGTAGGTGCTCGTCTTTGTGACCACCGGCTGCTGGCACGACGGGCACGTGACGGCCACGGGGTCTGGCGTGCGCAGGGGCTGCTGCACCACCGTCACGTTGGGCACCATCAAGTAGCCCTGCGGCTGCATCAACTGGGGCGGCAGTGGCTGCCCGGCGTTCGCTGCAACAAAATCACACAAAGACAAAGGATCATAGCCTTAACACACTTGTTGGGTGCAAGTGCTTGTTTGCGAGCGCCTAATGAAGGCAGGGATGAGGAGGGTGGGTGGGCCATGTTTACACACCGAGTCGACCTAGGGGAGGCCCAAGACCAGTTCAGATAATCACCACTGGTGTTGGCAACCATGAGCGGGAATCGAATCAGGGTTGCCGGGGGTTCGTTGTGCAGCGGTTAGCGCGCTGCACTAGCGCTCCCCACTTCCGCTGTGCAAGCGCACGTTAATACGACCACTTCGCCACCACCACGCACGCTCATGCAGAAGACCACACACACACAAGCGGCGAAGCAGCCAGAACCAGCACCAACAATGACCCCAAGCTCTGTGGTCCTATAATTGGGAAATGTGCCCAACTCCAATGATTATTATTCACATATATCACTTTCTTTTCTACAGTTACATGCTAATGTCTCACATTAACATCATGCTAATCCCACACATTAACATAGCCACATCCGTGCCCTCGTTTAGGAGGCCGCTCTCCTATCTTACAGTTACATGCTAATTTATCACATTAACATCACTAGCCCCGGCCACTTCTTTATGACCCTTGGGCTACACCCATTTCAAACCTTTTATAACAGTCTGCCTCAGCAGCAGACCACGGCTTTCCCACCTGATGATGGACGCTTGTGTTGCGCCCGAAACGTCGTGATTTACTTTATTTTATACCTACGTGACTTTACCGAAAGAACCAAAGAGTATATATCACTTTCATGAATAAAATAAAACGTCATCGCGGGGAACAGCGGCCGGCCACACAGCTCACCTCCTTGTGGTTCCGGAGGGCCTGGTGGGTATGCCGCTGCAGGGTTGGGCCCCACCAATGGTCCCGCGTAGCTCGGGTGGCCTGGGTAGCCCGGGTGTCCAGGCAGTTGCTGCCTGGGGTAGTCATACGGCGGTGGTGGTGCTTGAGGGCCGTTCGGGCCCTGCAGGAGGTAACCGGGCGGATGGGCATACCCATGTGGCCCCGGATTCTCCCCCCCCATCGGCGCTCCACCTGGGACGCAACGGAAACGGCTCGGCGATCCAGTTTGACCACCTTAGGAATTTCTACAAACACCTTCCCAACCGAGGTGGCCGGCCTGGGTGGCTCCAGAGATCAAATCGCCGAGCCGGCACAACTGAGATCGTGGGTTCGTATCCAGGCAGCAGCAGCAGCAGCAGCCTGTATCCAGGCAGCAGCAGCCGCCTGTAATTAAACCTGAGCTCTCAAGTGCATTTAAGTTGCTTTCACCATCACATGATAGACATTGGACTCTACAGCAGGGCAGGTGGGAAAGTTCACTCACAATCCCGGTCGCAGGGCGAGTTGAATTATTATCATCGTAATCATCATCCCTTCGATGTTTATGATGAGGTCAAGGCCGCTCGCTCTGTGCGAAGTCAACTTGTTGTCATGTGCATAGCGTGTTCACCGCTTGTTGCACAAGTTGGTATTTCGAATTCCGGTGGACGCCCTGATTTAATACTGCGGGGGCCTATTAACAATACAAATCACGGGCCATCTGCTTTAAAGTGGATGTCAAAGATTCCGAAGTTACTTGCAAAAGCAAGACATTGTGCCCTGGTGCCGGCGTCCAAATTTGTCATATTTGAAAAAGGTGACTGGAAAACTCTTGAATTGTAATTGTACCCCACAACCATCGCGCTCCCCCCCCCCCCCCCCCCCCTACTGTGAAAATTTGGCAGGACCCTTTTTGAAAAATAGTTGTGAGACTTCGTGAGGTTTTCTTGGGTTAAGTAGGACCATCCTCAAAAGGAATTTTAAAAACCCATCAGAATATGGAATTTCGACTCAAGGCTGAAGGCTGCCGGCTAAGATTAATGCCACCGTGACTTTCAGGGACGCCGCCATAGCACTGCGGTGACATCACTGCGGTGACATCACTGCGGTGACATCACTGCGGTGACATCACTGCGGTGACATCACTGCGGTGACATCACTGCGGTACTGCTGCCCTTTAGTTCAACAGACGCATTTGAATGTTGCTTTAAATTCCATTTTAAACCAATAACGAAGCCACACAGCTCACACGTTGAATAGCGTGGGACGCACAGCTATCGGGACATATCGAGTAGGCCTCGGCAAGGTAAGGTAAAAGGTAAAAACAACGAGCCTACCTTTACCCTACCTTTTACCTTTCCACAAAACAATCACTCTACCCTACCTTTTACCCTTCAGCAGGTAAGGTATGAGGTTCAAAGCAACGAGCCTACCTTTACCCTACCTTTTACCCATTCCCCATACAAATTACTCGATTACAGGGTAATTACTGGGGTACTACACATGAAAAAGGTTTATAACAGGTAAATGCTAGGTAGAGCGCTTTATTCATATAGAATGCTCTCAATGATTCCAATTTTACACGCTTTCTTTTAACTCACTCTGTCTGTTGATGTTGTCGTTGTTGTTGTCGTTGTTGCATACTCAAATCTTGTAACTTAATTTTAACCCACTTCCAAATGTGGTTTCAACTAAACTTGGTTTTTACAAACAAAATTAAAAATATTTGTAAACATCATTTTTTATTTGTTATGTTTCGGCTTGGGTCTAATTGTCCACTGTCAACTGACGTTGGCTGTAATTGGCCACGGTCCCTTACGTTGGCTGTAATTGGCCACGGTCCCTTACGTTGTGGCAAGCTTCGGGGCCACTTCCTGGAGTCGTGGACTCGTGGAGTTCTGACATTACTAGTAGGGTACATTTCATAACGGCGTGTTTTTAATAAAGTTTTGTCTAAAATATTACTTATTAAATGGAGGCCATGGACTGCACCCACGGAGCTTTTAGCGGTAAACAAGGCACCGTAGTTACCGGGTTAGTACTTCGCGTCACCTTTACCCTACCGGGTAATTCTTCCTAGCGACCTTTACCCTACCCTTTGCCTTACCCCTTGGCATGTCGACACCTTTACCCTTTACCCGTTTACCCGGTAAAAAGGTAAATTACCTTACCTTGCCGAGGCCTAATATCGAGCACAGATTAAAGCCTATATGAGCACAATTCCATTGTGTCTTTCCACGGTTAAATAAATGAATAAAATATACTCTTTGGTTATATTGGGTAAAGTCACGTAGGTAAAAAATAAAATACCTACGTGACTTTACCCAATAGAACCAAAGAGTATGGATCCTAGCAGTCACGAAAGCTTTAAATCTAGAATTGAATAAAATATGTTTTAGTCCACCAGTCTATTTATTGTATTTCCAGACCAATATCATCCAACAGCAGGTTTCGATTTTTCTGGGTCCCATCAGCAGTCAGGCTTGTTAAGCAAAAGCTGCCAGGTTACAGGATGTTATTGGTAAGAGCACTCCATAAAAAAAACTGTGGGATCCCGCTGAACGCGAAAAGCAACAGTGTACACAAACTCACAACGCATTTCCGCTGACCATTACGGGTGAAAGCATAACAAAACAAATCTACAACTTAGTTTACTGGACATCTGTGAAAAAAAGCTTCATAACTCATTGGATTTCTCAAGGATAAATCACGATTTTGATTCTAACATTTCCCCTCTATCCATCTATCCACCTGCACGTGGCACTTGAGACTGGACAACTCAAGGTGAGACCATTGGGAGGGGGGGGGGGGGACGGAGGAGTGGGGGTGGGGGGGTGCAACTCACCTGGAGCCTTGTTGAAGTCATTTCCGAACTGGTCTGGAGGAGGCACATTCATACTTGCTGCTCAATAACAGACGAGGTATGTGCGGTCTGTTTAGAAAACAAACAGCAGCAGCAGGGGTTAACAAATAAGTCACTCAGATATCGTCATGTGCTGCGAAACTACCCCAACCCGCTGGACTATGAAGGCAATTGAGCCGAGATAAGGGCAGTACAGCAAGTGTGTGTTTGTGACTTGTCTATGGATTTATTTTGTTCAAATCTTATCCCATAATAGGCGTCAGCTTGATAATGGGTCCGCACAGCTCGACCTAAGTCCCCACGTGGTCCTACATTGTCCCGATGCATCACACCTGGTTCTGCAAAGACCACACCTGTGTTCCAAAAATCTTCAAGTGGTCCCTACGCACGGTCCCAACCTGGCCTAAAGTGCCGCCCCCCCCCCCCCCCCCCCCATGTGATTCCACGTACCTAGGCTGTCAAATAATGCACATAGGAACCTTGACCTAACCATTATGAGCCACCCCTAAAAGCTGCCCCCTGGATGTCTCCAGATCTGATTAACTTTCAGTAATTTCGAGTGCCCTGGAGACAAACGATATAGTTCCCCTTAATTATCCCTGGCAAGTTCTATATTTGTGACCCTGGGTCTATGAAAGGTGGCATCCGTGGGGGTTTCACGGATGCCACATCCGAAATTTAAATCAGGTTTATTAATTCCGAAATGAAAATGAAAGATGGTTGTCTCCCAAGATTGCTGGGAAGAAGTGATTTTTTTCATGTTATAGCCTAGGACTACAGAATTTAATACCTGGAAGTTTTGATGACTGCCGAATCAAAATATAGCATCAGATATTCATTAACTCGTTTCCGGAAAAGTATGATGCTAAAACCGATAAAGGCTGACCGAGACTCAAGACTGTTTAAGGAGGGTGCATTGTAACATTGAGCCGATTCCATTCATGGGTGTTTGGCAACATGTGGGAGAAACCCAGGATACCTTGAACTAAAACTCACGCATGCACACACACACACACACACGATGAGGCAACACTCGGTCAAGTTCCGCACAACGCGAAGCACTCGTGAGCATCGCCGAGGAGCACACAAGCATCCAAACAAGAAGCGGGCAATCGGTCTTTTTCATATATCCGTCTCTCCACATTATTAAATATAAACGTATATTATTTCTATTTTTTTTTTACACAAAACCCATCGGGCCCCAATGGGCTTCTGGGAGTGGATAATGTCTGCAGCGTTGGTTCACGAAAAGCAAATCTCTCTGGACCTGTTTTGACGCACAGTCTCTCATCAGCAGAGTCGGGCTTGCTCAAGTCAATGCTGGCGAGCTGCCATTACTACACCATTTAAAGATACGGATCCTCATACAACGCAGAAAATCATACGACGCGTAACCGTAATATGAATTAGCGTCACATTGGAGAACACGAGCAACAAAGCGAAAAACTCGTCTCTCAAAAACTTCCCTGGGCCACTTCGCGATGTTCCGACAGCGAGATTCCTCTGTAAGTGGAAGACCGAACCTTTTGTGTACTGAAGGGAAAGGCTCACTCACCCACAAGTCATCACATTTCTGTCTCTGTTGACACAATGTAGGGGGCAGTGTACCCCCCCTCTCCTCCAACTGGAAGCTGGCAGAGCCAGATTTGCCTCATGCGCCTCAGAGCTCCAACATACCCGAGGTACAGCAAAAATGTCGAATATAAACACGTATTTTTAACAGGGGGCGATGACCAGAAATAGCACATGTAAATTGCAGTACAAAGCAGTTTAGGTTTTTTTTTATGCACCCATACCATACCAGAGTAGAGAACAGTATGCCATGTTATAACAGGGCCAGAATGATGAGTTTTGGCAAAAAGAGAAAATGTTTGTTCATAAATGTTTACCCCCCCCCGCCCGCCCCAATGTTGCGGGTCAATTATTTAGAACGTTATCATTTGTGACCCTGGGTCTATGAAAGGTTGCATCCGTGGGGGTTTCACGGATGCCACATCCGAAATTGAAATCAGGTTTATTAATTCCGAAACGAAAATGAAAGATGGTTGTCTCCCAAGATTGCTGGGAAGAAGTGTTTTTTTCATGTTATAGCCTAGGACTACAGAATTTAATACCTGGAAATTTTGATGACTGCCGAATCAAAATATTGCATCAGATATTCATTAACTCGTTTCCGGAAAAGTGTGACGCTAAAACCGATAAAATTGTGACAAACCTACGACTTATTTGGTTCTTTCGGTAAAGTCACGTAGAATGAGAATAAAATAACAAATTGATAAAATAAAATAACAATAATATATATAACATTCATGAGAATATTATTGTGTTATTTTATTTTATCAATTTATTATTTTAGTCTCATTCTACGTGACTTTACCGAAAGAACCAAAGAAGATGAATCCTTGCAGTCACGAAAGCTTTAAATCGAAACCTACGACTACTACTTGTGCGATTCAGAGGAGCGATTTACCCACAAGCGAGAATCAACTCAGGTCGCCGGGATCGTATATCAGCGCGCTAACTGCTACGCTATCGCTCCCCGCTACAAGCAGGAGATACAAAGACAAAGATCCCACGTATAATCTTCACAACACTGTTGGGGCAAGTGCTGTTAGGCCGGCACGGCACATGAGGGGGTCGGTGGCCAGCACCACGCCCGACCGCCTCTGTCTCCCCAGTGGCGAGGTTTACACACCACACCAGGTACTCGCTTGAGGCTGAGTCGACCTAGGGGAGGGCTAGGACCGGTTCAGATAATCATCACCGCTGTTGGCCATGAGCGGAAATCGAACTCTAAGTCACCGGGTTCGTAGCACAGTGCGCTAACCGCTACACTACCGCTTCCCCGCACACAGAGAGGAAGGGAGGCTCTTATTTCCCGTTGTATTCTAAATGCCGTGAGTTACCGGCCCACGATTCTCCGAGATCTTAACTGAAGAGTTACCATATTCTTGGTTCTTTCGGTAAAGTCACGTAGAAGGGAAACCGAAAGAACCAAGAATATGAATCCCTGCAGTCACAAAAGCTTTAAATCAAAATTGAAGAGTTACCCTTTTCTCCCCGGGTGAATTTGACTAAACAAATACCGACCCCCCAAATTCCAAACGCATCACGAGTAATGTTGTCGGGCCAGTCCCTGGGTGTGGTAGCGTTGCGTTGCAATAATTTAGCTCAAGTTGACCCCCCCCCTCCCCACAAATGACTACGAGTTGTCGCAATGTAATCGAGCTTCTTACGTAGTACAATAACGTACATGGCCTAGCGGCCCACGCGTGGACTCTGGGACTCATAAACAGCACGGCCGTGTGTGCTCAGATTTTAAACCATTTAATTATTATCCACGCTGACAGTGAAGCACAAGCACAATGAGCCAAAACTCAGCGCGAATTAAAAATACATTATTTAGTTAATTTTTTCTGGTTTTAGTTTAGTTTCATTTATTAGGCATAGCCATGTGAGCCATGCGGCTCTTGACTCGGGTGCAACCGCAACAAACAAAAACATGCACAAAGAACATCTTCGAGTGACGACGCGCAACAGAATCCAGGAAAAAAACCAGCAAAATCTTCCAGAAAAAAGCACCGTATATCAATGCTGTGTGCAAAAATCCCAGTGGGATGCATGTCAAACAATAACAACCATAAGACAATTTAGATTAAAGTTATCAGGCTAACTCCGTACTTCAACAAACACACATGGCTTAACCATAGGTAATAGTCGACGTTTCGGGCAATAGGCTCTTTTTCACTCATATGCTATGAAGAAGGGCAATTTGCTGAAACGTCGCAGGCTGCGTGTTTGTTGTTGTTGTTTGTGGGGAGCGGTGGTGCAGTGGTTGGCACGCTGCACTACGAACCCGGCCACCCGAGTTCGATTCCCGTTCACGGCGACCAACGCCAAGTGGCGGGTATCTGAACCGATCCCGGACCTCCGGTAGGTCGATTCCGTTTTAAAATGAGTACCTGGTGCGATGTGCAAACGTCGCCAGTAAGGAGACAGTCGTGATGTTGGCCACCCACCCCAGAGTGTGCCATGCGGGCCTTCATAGGTGCTACTTCGCTAACAGCACTTGCCCCAACAGGTCTCCTCATGCTTGTTGTGCGTGTGTGATGTGTACAGTAGAGTGTTTATATCACGGTTGCCGAGCACAGGCCCAAAACGCCAAGTGGCCAGCAGCAGACAGCACTCCCCTAAAATGTAACGGATGAGGGTTAACTCGTTTGCTTGAACCGACACAGGCGATATGCGGGAATTCCAGAGTGGAGCAGCGTGAGAAAACAAGAAGAGACGCCTTGTTTGTGAACTGCATTGTGGTGGCGGTGGCTGCTTTGTGTCCTGTCACAGGGTTTCGTGTTACGTGAAACGCAATACCACCATCGAGGTGAAATGGTCGTCGTTAATCTGAATCCACATATGACCCCATTAGAGCGCTAAAAGCCGAAATAAGAAATAAAACCCCCTGCTAAGGGGCCATTCGAGTGAACTCAAGACGTAAATGAGATTTGGCTTCCCGGCCAGGAGAAGCCTGAGTCAGGGGGGAGGAGGGTTAAGATTGAGGTCGTCCCATTAGAGGAGGGCCGTGCGTGGGAGGACAGCACTCGGATGGCGGAGTCACGAAACTGAACGGCCACACAGCACCCTCGTTGCGCCCAGCCGCCACCCTAAACACGGGGCTAAGGCCCCGAAGGACTTCTGCGTGACCTCTCAAGGCCACCGTCGCTGGCGATGGCGCATCGACGGTGACCGTGACAGATGGTCACGGTTACGGTGATCAACGTTCATGGTGGTCCAGATGTATTGTGACCTACATTTAAATCTCTAAACCAATTTTTTTTTCAAGTAAGGTTGATTTAAAACAGAAATTAATATGCTAACAAAAAAAGTGAGGGGGGGGGGGGTACATTAATTGGGGGTGACAAGACGTCTGTACCACCCGAATACTAAATCGGATATCATCACTTCTGCCAGCAGCCACTCACGTGGCTACCACGGACGTGGGCGGGTTGACTTCAATCGCCACCACACGCACACAATGGGGAGGGGGGGCAGGGGGGGGCTCAAGACACATTGCTTGTTTATATGACCATACACAGCTGGGCACATTTCACCCAGCTCGATGGTAAACGGACTACAACCGGACCACGACTTAACGCTTCCATCTCCAAAAGGGCCAACAATGGGGAAGCCGCGAATTGCCCCGCAAATAATTCGAGTCAAGAGCGGTAAGCGGCGGCGCACATTGGGACGACTGAAGACCGCTCATAACCGCCGTTGAGTTTGAACTCTCGGAAGGCCCACACTTGGCCAGGCTACGGACAAAAAGCAACCGAAGCCCCCATCACACGTCAGGGGGGTAGGGAGGTGGGGGCACTAAAAGCCACCAGGGGGTCCGCGCCAGTGGCCCGCGGGCCTAGACTGCACTACGACATATATGTATGGCCTTTTGGCTGTCTCTGGTGTGGACCAATCAGTTTCAAGGGCAATGCCAAATATGATCAGAGTGTGGTTTTTTTTGCATTCTGACCACAGGCATTGTGGTTCATGCAGACATGGTTCCTCGTAAAAGGTTTCAGTTTGGTGTTTTAACATCTTAACACAACCTGTGTTTTTTCTTTGGTTACCGAAAGAACCAAAGAAGATGAATCCTTGCAGTCACGAAAGCTTTAAATCGAAATACAACCTGTTTTGTTGCCAGAAAGAAGGGAAAAAAACCCTATTATTATATTGTGATACTGGCAAAGGCGGTCCCATGATGTAGTGAATTGTTAAACCGGTTACACATGGAGGTTGCTGTCTGTCAACTCGCGGTGGCTTCTCGAGGCTGACAGGTAAAATAACGAACGTGCCTTTGAGCTTGATAGATAACAAAGTGAAATTTCGAGTGGAACCCGAGCGCATAATACACATCGCAGTGGGATATGTGGACGGATGGTTTAAGTGTACAGCACGCGCAAACGCACAAATGTGTGGTTCATAACGGAAAGCTCATTTCGCATCCTTGAGTCGAAAAAAGTTCAAAACTTGTATGTTCACCTGCTGGGACATTCCTCAATGCGTGGCAAAAAAAAAATGTGCATTAGCGGTTACCGGTTGTTCAAATGTCACGCGTTAGTAACGTGCACTGTGAAGATGAACCTACGGTATTGAAGTGCTTCCACGTGGCTATCCACTGCTGGATGAATAACCCAGCCCCCGCCACGCTCCATAGCGAGACACCATTCGCGTTGACCTGCGGCGTGTGTGTCACGTCGTGTTTGACGATTCGTTGACGATTGACGTGGTAGACCTCGAGCAAAGGTGCTCTATAAATAGGGTGCCGTATTAAAAAAAAAAACCCCGAGGCATATCGTTGCGCGTTCGTGTCTCGTTTTTTTTTCATCATTTTCCACACGCAAGTTACAAGTCAACTACTAAACCTCTTAACGCGCTACCTGTACCGACACGTCAATGGCATCGGGGCTGTGTTCAAACCGCAAGAGCCCAGCAATGTAGGAAAAACGTGTTTTTTTCCCGAGATTACGAACAACGCAAGATTCTGATTATGCCAAACAAATGACTGCGCTTACAGCCAAACGCGCTCTGAACACCGCACAAAAGCCCCTGCCAAGAAGCTCGCGATCAACTTTAAAAACGTTGTTGTTTTTGGTTAATCCACTGCTGGATGAGAGCCCGACTCGAGCACGCCGGTTAATTTTGTTTGACCATACTTCACCACGACGGTCAGTGGCGGGTTGGTGGAGGAGGCGATTGGGGGGGGGTGGATAGCACGTGGGAACAACTACAGTACAACTATGGATGTCCTTGACCAAAGTTCTACCGTTGCTCGCTCGCATTCACCACCCCTTACCGACACAGCGAGGTGAAGTATGGTCGTGTAAACAACAGCACGCGCGAACTCCCTGGACGCGTTGAAACACAGGCTGTAGAAGTAGCCAGCGCATCACGGCACACGGACATTGTACCTGGTGGCTCACGGTGTTGTGTGAAGATGGTGGCAATGTCCCGTCTTTGCGAACGGAACTAATTACGCAACTCTATACGCCGCTGCCGTCGCCGCTGCGACAACAGCGACAACAACAACAAGAGTGAGAGAGGGAGAGAGACTGCTCCAAGTTGCTTTCCCGGAAAGCACACGACGAGGTGGGCGCGACTCAATGCCAGAGGCCGAGACGTGAAGAGGAGAGAGACGAACCTCGAAGCGCTGCAGCGACTGTGGCGGGATCCGCCGCTCACGGATCTCCACCCCACCCCACTCCCCACCCTCCCCACTCTCCCCACCCCCCACTGTTGCGTCACGAACCCGTAGGGGTTGGCAAGAGGCAGCCGCATGCCGCTGTTGTGGCCAGAAAGCGGCGGCTCTCAACCGGGGGGCCGGGTGGGTCGGGGTGGGGGTACGAGGACCCCCCCCCCGGGTGGGTCGGGGTGGGGGTACGAGGACCCCCCCCGGGTGGGTCGGGGTGGGAGTACGAGGACCCCCCCCCGGGTGGGTCGGGGTGGGGGTGCGAGGACCCCCCCCGGGTGGGTCGGGGTGGGGGTACGAGGACCCCCCCCGGGTGGGTCGGGGTGGGAGTACGAGGACCCCCCCCCGGGTGGGTCGATGTGGGGGTGCGAGGACCCCCCCCCGGGTGGGTCGGGGTGGGGGTACGAGGACCCCCCCCGGGTGGGTCGGGGTGGGGGTACGAGGACCCCCCCCGGGTGGGTCGGGGTGGGAGTACGAGGACCCCCCCCCCGGGTGGGTCGATGTGGGGGTACGAGGACCCCCCCCCCCGGGTGGGTCGGGGTGGGGGTACGAGGACCACCCCCCCCCGGGTGGGTCGGGGTGGGGGTAGGAGGACCCCCCCCGGGTGGGTCGCGGTGGGGGTACGAGTACCCCCCCCCCCCGGGTAGGTCGCGGTGGCGGTACGAGGACCCCCCCCGGGTGGGTCGGTGTGGGGGTACGAGGACCCCCCCCCCGGTGGGTCGGGGTGGGGGTACGAGGACCCCCCCCCGGGTGGGTCGGGGTGGGGGTACGAGGACCCCCCCCGGGTGGGTCGGGATGGGAGTACGAGGACCCAACCCCCCCGGGTGGGTCGGGGTGGGGGTACGAGGACCCCCCCCCCGGGTGGGTCGGGGTGGGGGTACGAGGACCCAACCCCCCCCCCCCCGGGTGGGTCGGGGTGGGGGTACGAGGACCCCCCCCCCCCTCGCCTGGGTGGGGGGGCTGGGGGTACGAGGACTCCCCCCCTCGCCTGGGTGGGGGGGCTGGGGGTACTTGGCAATGTTCCCGGGTGTTGGTACGCGAGGTGATTCATGTGAACGTTGTGAAATTTCATCACGCCACGAGAGTCGGCCGCGCCACCCAACACACGCCGTCATTTCACAACAAATTGTTTTTTTTTTATTTCCATCCGATTAAAGTTGGAACGATGTGTGGCCGAAGTGCTTTCGTTGCGAATGTCAAGCGTCCGACCAACTTTCCATCGGTTCTTGTAACAAAATAACTGCGATTAAAGAAAATGTGTAAAATCTACGCGGCGATAACCTACAACTGTTTGTGTGTGTATATATAAAGAGACCTTTCTAAACTCCTTGATGGTAAACGATGCCGCTTCCGAGAGTAACCCAGCAAGAGCGAACGAATTCCGTGTATTTTTTTGGGATTCGTTTGCCGTTACTTAGCTGGTCAGGAGACCTCACGAAACGCAGAACTGGCTGAAACAAAATTGCCGTTCCTTATTCGTGACATTTATTCCTCCCAGAACCACGCTTGGTTGGATCAGCTTTGAAACAAAGAAAATCAACGAGGGATCCGGAACACAGTAGCAACAATCCAAAGCCTGTCTGAGAACGCTGTCGCAATGAATCAGGCGCAAGTCTTTGCGAGCAACGTTCGCGAATTAATCTTCGCGGCTGGCTGGCTCTTGCTGCAATTTCACAATTTCACTCCCTCGTCGGATTCGTCCAGAAGAAATAACAATTCGGATTCTGGTTCTCTGCTCTCCCCCCCCCCCCCCCCCCGCTGTTCCATCCCCTCCTGCCAAGATGTTCACCACGAGTGTCCCAATTCCAAGAAGCACCTCGACCACCCCACTCGTCCATGTGATCGCGGCGGCCGCCTTCCCGTGAGCCCACGGACTGAAGTCGGCTAAGTCCCGTAACGAGCGTGGGGGACAGGGGGTGCCTTGCACCGCCACCCCCCCCCACCAACCAACCCAGTGGTGGCCAAAGCTACGAGTTGGATGAGGCCCCCATGACGACAACCATGAGATGTGTTTTAAACAACAAGTGTCAAAGAACACCAACAAAACTTCCAATTATTTTGACGAAAACGCTTCCATTTACGCGCCACGTTTTATTTTCATTTCGAGCAGAGGCGTGATATTGCAAACGAGGTACTACGAACGCGTGTACGGCACGATACATCTTTCGACAACACAACTCGCCACTGATTAAACTCAAGCCCCCGCGTCACCTGGGGGCTTTTATTTATTAAATGATTAATCATCAGGCGCATGAGGCGCGTAAGTGGTTTAAACGAACGTACGCACATCTGTCACCAAAACATTTAAACAACTCATAATGGTGCGACCGGGGGCTTGATTTAATCTGAAGTTGTCCGTTGGCTGAGCTCCGGAAAATTCCGACGCCGTCAAAGGTAGGGGAGAGTTGGGCCCAACCACGCAAATAACTAAACACACAATTAAAATATAACCTCTTGTATTATCACACGACTCCCCTCCTTATTCTAAGTGACATGTGCAGAAGGTCGGTGACGGATTACAATATAATGCATCACCAATTTATAATAGGGGTTTCCCTTTTTTTCTGGCAACAAAACCGAAACCTTTTTACAAGGATTCATGTCTGTATTAACCACAATACCTGCAGTCAAAATGCAAACAAAAAAACATACTATGATAATATAGGACAATGCATATATTATAATAGTAAGGGGAAACCCCTATTATTATATTTTGGTACTGGCAAAGGTATAATGATGTAGCGTCACCAATTATTTACGAAATATTCAGCGATACACGCGCAAACGCCTTGAGGGCAAACACTAAACAAGTGCTGTTAGCGAGCACCTATTAAGGCAGGAACGGCATAAACGGGGGTGGGGGTGGCCAGCACCACGTCTGGCCACCTTTGCCTCGCTAGTAGCAATATTTACACACTGCACCAGATACTCATTTGAAATTGGGTCGACCTAGGGAGCGGCCCAAGACCGGTTCGCTGTTGTTGGCCGTGAGCGAGAATTGAACTCGGAAAGCCAGACTTGCACCACCGCTCCTCACGCAAACACGAATATCCCGCATGTAGCCTGAACAGACTGTAGGGGCAAGTGCTGTTAGCGAGCAGCACCTATGAATGCCGGCACGGTATGCATGGGAGTGGGTGGCCAGCACCACGCCCGACCGCCTTTGTCTCCCCAGTGGCGATGTTTACTACACACCGCACCAGGTACTCATGTGCGGCTGAGTCAACCTCGGGGAGGCCCAGGACCGGTTCAGATAATCGTCACCAATGTTGGCCATGAGCAGAAATCGAACTCGGGTGGCGAACCGCTACACTACCGCTGCCCACGCACACATACACGCACACACATGCAAACTTTGTCACAAGAGACCACAGGCACGACATTATTTGCCTAAAATACCACTGCACCCACAGATCGCAGATACCAACGTAGGAACACACGGAAATTCACGTGCAGGGTTCACACTGTACTCACGACATAATCACCGATTATTCCAACTGCATTGTTGGGGCCTTACTTGGCTCCAGTTTGCGGTGAACAAAGTTCAACTCATGTTTTCAAGTCTTAAGATGAGTTAACGAGTGGAGGTGAATTCACCAAGTAATTTGAGCGTGTCAAGTCTCTTCATCATTGGCGCGTTTTCTATCAGGGCGTACACATGCATTCAACTGCCAATCGTCACACTAAGAGGCGGTGATGTCATTCCAGCGCTCATGCCAGGCACGGTGCACTTTGAGGCCTTGTGGAGGTTCAAAGGCTCACTAGCAGGTGGGGACACGAGAGAGACTTGTGCGTTATGGCATAACCGAGGTGCCACCTGGAATGTTTTTAAAGAGATCCTGTGTAGCCGAAGCTGGTTATTGGGGCAAGTTCTGTTAGCGAATACTTATTAAAGGGCAGAGATGTTTTGCAGTCAGGACTCTTATGGAGAGGCAATTTAAGCATAGTATACAAGGCCGTAAAGATGAACTGTGCTGGTCTCTAAAAGAACTTGCACGCTACATTAAGGTTTCCTTTATTGTAGTGCGTCAGTGTTATCCCCTTATATGCACGTGTATTCCAACAAAATTGGACACTCAAATTTCCTCCTGCATAAAAGTAAAAATCCTTCAACCTAAATTTGCGAAAATTGCAAACGGAACCAGTAATTTTTGTTCTATAAATATTGAAAATTATAAACAACATAAAATCACACTTTACTCAATTGCATAGTGTTGTTGCATTGTAACATTTACTTTTATATTTCAACATTCAATATCAAAGTGCGCTGAGCCACACACACGCGCACCTGCTGAAGTCAAAGAATCAGTAACCATGGATTGGCATCACAAAGGATTAGAGTCATAGTAATAAGAGTATTAAATCGTGGGTTTGAGTCAAGGGTCATGGGGGGGGGGGGGGGGGGGGGGGAGTTTGGTGGAAATGAGGGTGGGCGATCGACGTGTTCCATCGCTCAGTCACAGGAACCATCGTTCAGTCACAGGAACCATCGTTCAGTCACAGGAACCATCGCTCCACCCATCCTTCCAGCGCTCGTCCACGCGGCTGCAGTCGAACTGGGGCTTTCCGAGCCTGCGGTTCACATCGTTGTGCAGGCCGCACATCCACTGTGAGAGGCCGCAGCGGCTGCTCGTGTCCGGTGGTCGGGTCTCAAGCCTGCGCGGCAGCAACAAAGGCAAAGGATCCCCCGTGTAGCCTTAACAGACTGCAGGGGCAAGTGCTGTTAGCGAGCAGCACCTATGAAGGCCGGTAACGGTACACGAGGGGGTGGGTGGCCAGCAACCACGCCCGACCGCCTTTGTCTCCCTAGTGGCAATGTTTACACACCGTACCAGGTACTCATTTGAGGCTGAGTCGACCTAGGGGAGGCCCGGGACCGGTTCAGATAATCGTCACTGGTGTTGGCCGTGAGCGGGAATCGAACCCGGGTCGCCAGGTTCATAGCGCAGCGCGCTAAACGCTACACTATCGCTCCCCACAGCAGCAACACACACACACACGATGAAAATGGAACACTTTTCATTCAAATATTAGGAAGCCACTGCAGCTATGCACTTTCAAATCTAGATTAAAAATTTATTTCTTAAGAACTGCTTTTTGTGTTTAGTTCGTTGTCCTTCCCCTGCAACTCCGATCAGCACGGTTGGCTACGTATGCTGCGAAAGAAGTTCAACATACATACAATGGTCGCAGTGCAGCATGGCAAATTGTGGCTATTGGTAGTTGGTGGTGGTGGTGGCTATGGCCATGATGGGCCATGATGAGCCATGCCTGTAAATGAGATGCTTTGGGAGGAGGCAAAGTTGGTGGCTTATACGGACATCACCTGCTGTGGGTAACAAGGAGGAATGGAAAAACACGAAGCCAAAGGGAAGCATAGCTGAGCACAGGGAGATTTGTGGTGGTACGTGTAAATGGAGGTGGAGTGGTTCGTGTAGAGTGGGTTCATAGCATTTCAAACCGGGCACGGTCCAGCATGGTAAGATCCAACAATCCTCATGACTGACACAACGTGGGAAGGCTGTCAGCTAGCAGTGTATTAAGGGCTGTTTATATAAACAAGGGTGTACTGCTGTGGAGACACTACACAGCAGCGACACAGGCAGGTATAAAAGATACACTGAGACATGAGGAAGCACAACAAGGTAATAGAGACACGGGCACGATGTGGCACAATGGCAATGAAGTCAATTGTGACAACAAAGACGGCACGTGTGAACACATTGAGGCAACGGTCATCACACACAGGTGCAAGGAGGCACAATGACAACACACTGCGGCGCATGGAGACACGTGGCACACAATCACACAGAAACGCAGGAAGGCCCAGACAGACGCATTGACACACGTGGTGGCGCAGGGGAGAAGAGGGGACACTTGACGACACACGGAGCCACGCGCGGCCTTGCAGGGGGGAACCACAACAATGGACCACCACGGGGGGGATTCACCTTTCTCGCATGTCCTTGGCGCAATCCTCGCACGGGTAGAAGCGCGAGAACAGCCGCACCAGCTCCCCCATGTCGCGACGCTGCTGCGCGCTCGGCTGCTCGGGGTAGTAGGCGGCCATGGTGTGCAGGAAGGTCCACGTGCTGCGGCCGAGCTCCTCGCGGTCCGCGGGGCACTCGGCCGCCGCCGCCGCCGCCGCGGCAGCTCTGCGCTGCTCTGCCTCCTCGGTCGCAGCGCTGCCCGCTGCCGCCCCCTTCTGCTCGTATCGAGGGACACGCGAGGAGAGCGATGATCAGGATCAAGGTGTCATCATGGCCAAAGTCGTTGATACCTCCTACCAGAAATCCCGCAGCTGCTGCACAGTAGACATGCCACCACCAAGATTTGCCGTAACAGTATCTCCACCATCTGCTGGTACATCTTCGTCTTGGTCGTCACACTCGTGGAGATGACCCCAAGGCCTGTCTCGGTAACTGGCCCTCCATCATCACGCACACATGTCCTACCCCAGTGTTCTACACTGCAAGGTCCGCGGGCAACCGGTGGCCTCTGGTGGCCTTTAGTGTGGCCCCCGACATTAGACAAACGTGCAGGCGGTGTGGCGGCCCTCACACCGATGTCTTACCGGAGAAAGTGCCCCCCCCCCCCTCTGACAATTAGTTAAGAACACTGACCAACCCCAGTGTAACATTTTCAGCGCCTTGTCGGGCAGTGAAGGATAGCGACGGCGTGGGAAGGCCTTAACACAGCAGATAAAATAGACCACGGCCGATGGTGCTCACAATCACCAACGAAATCTTAATGGGGCACAATCTGCTGAAAGTATAGTATACGATGATTCCTAACAGGGCTCCGTTTATTTATAAACAGTGAATTGGATGATGATGATGATGTATGACTAAATGTACGGGATTGTCCAATGAATCTCAATGCACGGTACTGTCAAATTGCCCACTTTGAAGCTTTCACCTTTGTTAAAGGACGTGATTATAATCCTGTCATGGTTTAATGGATACGGAGGGTGACAACAGATAAATCGAGGGCATGCTTATTCTAACCAGGGCTTTATTTCTCACGGAATGCTTTGTTTCCCCCGATAGACTGGAGCCGGTGGGTCGCGCCTGGAAACTTCTGCAGAGAGACACTGGATGCGCTTTCCCGGGTGCAGCAAGGTGCTCCGCTTTGGTTACCTCGAAACAACGTGACCGAAATAAAAACCCTCCTTATAAATGTTAAATGACGACGAGCGCAACAATGGTTACCCAAAAAGACAAGCTTATGATAGCCAATTTAAGAACACTATAAACTGGTTAAAGTACGTGGTTATACTGTAATGGTTAAACGTAGACCACTTTTAACGCTGGTTAATGAAGTACATGCTTATACCAATTAAAGACCACTGCAAAATAGCTAAATGGACATGCTTTTATATATATAGTAGTTATATATGGCCCGCAATGTGTAAACGCCATGCTTATAATAACGGATCAATATAAACCACGGTAGCAATGGTTAAATGACATTCTTATAATGGTCAAATAGCGACCCGCATTCACAACGGTTACTCAATTCACCCGCGCACCTCCTTCCTCTGCGCCTTCATCCATGACGTGAAGTCTGTGCACGCCCGGCACGGCTTGGGAGCTCCTGGGGCCTTGGCCGCTGAGCTTGACCCGGGCACTGACCCGGGCACTGACCCCAATCCCGAACCCCGTCCCTGCGTGGTCTCCTTCTCACTGGGCGCAGCCATGACTGGTGACGCGGGGCAGCTTGGGAAATAGAGGAGCCCCGCCCCCTCGCCGCTCCGCCCCCACCCCCGCCGCTCCGCCCCCAGCCCCGCCGCTCCGCCCCCAGCCCCGCCGCTCCGCCCCCACCCCTCGCCGCTCCGCCCCCACCCCGCGGCTCCGCCCCCACCCCGCGGCTCCGCCCCCACCCCGCGGCTCCACCCCCGCGGCTCCGCCCCCACCCCTCGCCGCTCCGCCCCCACCCCTCGCCGCTCCGCCCCCACCCCTCGCCGCTCCAACCCGCGCCCCGCCCATAGTCTGTGACGTCACCACACTCATCGAAGTCACCGTCGGCCATCATAAGTGGGGGAATAAAAAATGAAAAATTGTATAAACACACTTTTTTTTAATTGAATGATTTCAACAGGTAAGGTCCGCTGAGACATGCGGCTCTTCTTTTTGCAGAAGCGAACCTGGCCATCGCTAGCGACAGCTCAACAAAGTGGCGCATCGTCACGTGCAAATTTATAGCGACCGGATGCACGCAAAACAAAATGTGCCACGAACAAGGGCGGTTGCCCGAAACGTCGCCTATTATATACATTCGCCCCCGCATTCCCGTCGATTTCAGGCAACAGCGATATTGACGATTGCGTTGAACAGCGCCCCGCGAGGGAAGAACGAGAGTCGTGCCTGCATGATGACGTCCAGTGAACGTCGATGGTGCATGACGTTCGTCGACGACGGCCGAAAGGGGGGTCGGTGAACTTGCAAAGAAGAAGAGGCTAAATTTCGATTTAAAGCTTTCGTGACTGCAATGATTCATCTTCTTTGGTTCTTTCGGTAAAGTCACGTAGAATGAGAATAAAATAATAAATTGATCAAATAAAATAACACAATAATATTCTCACGACGTTTCGGCCACAACACAAGCGGCCTTCATCAGGTGAAGGGGGGAGACTGTCTGGTAGGACAGCGCTGGAGTGAAAGAGCCACGTTCAGATCACGGCTTTTAAGCTATGTGAGAGGAACAAAGAGCCCGTGGTGCGGAAATTTGAGGGCTCTTTGTTCCTCTCACACAGCTTAAAAGCCGTGATCTGAACGTGGCTCTCTCACTCCAGCGCTGTCCTACCAGACAGTCTCGCCCCCTTCACCTGATGAAGGCCGCTTGTGTTGTGGCCGAAACGTCGTGAGAATATTATTGTGTTATTTTATTTTATCAATTTATTCTTTTATTCTCATTCTACGTGACTTTACCGAAAGAACCAAAGAAGAAGAAGAGGCTAGAGACGTGTTTTGTTGTTTTGTATTTGATCAAAATAGTTCGAGAGCAGGGACGTGCGGTCAGGGGAGGCAGGGGAGGCAGAGCCTCACCTGTCATACTCTAATGAAAATAGCTGTTACGAAAAGTAAAAAAAAATAATCCAATCAAATAGATATTAAGATTTTTCAACTGATCTGTGTTATAAATGTCATTTCTGTACGATTCCAATCATTTTTTTATTGTCAAAATCGCCAAATTTGTGGAGCTCCGCTGCAAATACAGGACGAGAGGTGAGGCAGCGACGAGCTCAGCCTCCCCTCTGATTGCGCAACCTCTCAGTAACTTGATGGAGCGCGGGCAATAAGCGCGTGCCTGTTACTATCTCAGTATGTCACCAATGTAATGGTTGTAGACCCCTTAATTTCATGTCCTCGCCTTCCATACGCCAGGTAACTTATTTCACGTATGTGTATAAAGATATTTAGGCTCGCTGGTCTCGTCATGAAACTGCAATGAAAAAGCACCAGGGGAGGCAGCTATCACATTTGCCTCACTGAGGAGCACGTGTCTAACACGCCCCCCTCAGCGTGGACAAGCCCCCTCCATGAGGCCACGCCCCCTCAGTGAGGCCACGCCCCCCTCCTTAAGTGTGTGAATCTGGCTCTGACACTAGCCAGTGCCTCCCCAGCCACTGACCTCACCCACCGCACGTCACTGTTCGAGAGCCGCATCACGCGCGCAGGGCTACTTGTACACAGACGCAGCGGGTATACGGCAAGATGACAACCAAGTCTCTCTTAATTAAACACACTTGGTGATGGAATAAACTGTGTACTTAGCTGGTTTTTTTTCCCTCTGAGTAAATCATAGCCGTCAACCCCTTATTAGTGCGCTACCTTATTACAGACCAATTCAGACCTTATTGGTCACCCCGTGCCCCTTAAAAATCTCAAGGCTCATCCTGCAAAGTCCCATCACAAGGGAGAAACGCAAACAAATAAGACAACATTTTTGTTGCCCGTATTGAAACGTCTGTACGCCGTCTGAACCTGAAAACTCAATTTCCCTTGTACAAGAATACGGGGTAAACCGTGCGGGTTGACAGGTATGGTCAACCCGTACGGTTGTCACCAACACGTCTATAGGAAAGTAGGGTTCGATTTACGACGATCCGATTTACACTGGGGTTTCCAGGAACACATCGCTTGTTGCTTCGTTTCTCAGTCCGCTTGTCCTGGTGAGGGTCTCGGCAACGGCGTGTTGAGTATTGGCGGTCCACACCTCCCTTTCCCTGGCGACAGCACTACATTACTATACACTATACACTACTACACCATATACTCCTCTACACTACGTTACTATACACTACTACACTATACACTACTATACTACATTACTACACACTACTACACTATACACTCCTCTACACTACATTACTACACACTACTACACTATACACTACTATACTACATTACTACACACTATTACACTATACACTACTACACTATTCACTACTACACTATACACTACTACACTATACACTACTACACTATACACTCCTCTACACTACATTACTACACACTATACACTCCTCTACACTACATTACTATACATTATACACTACTACACTATACACTCCTCTACACTACATTACTATACACTACTACACTACATTACTACACACTACTACACTATACACTCCTCTACACTACATTACTACACACTACTACACTATACACTACTACACTACATTACTATACACTACTACACTATACACTCCTCTACACTACATTACTATACACTACTACACTATACACTCCTCCACTACATTACTACACACTACTACACTATACACTCCTCTACACTACATTACTACACACTACTACACTATACACTACTACACTACATTACTACACACTACTACACTATACACTCCTCTACACTACATTACTATACACTACTACACTATACACTACACACTACATTACTATACATTATACACTACTACACTATACACTCCTCTACACTACATTACTATACATTATACACTACTACACTATACACTCCTCTACACTACATTACTATACACTACTACACTATACCCTCCTCTACACTACATTACTACACACTACTACACTATACACTACACACTACATTACTATACATTATACACTACTACACTATACACTCCTCTACACTACATTACTATACACTACTACACTATACCCTCCTCTACACTACATTACTACACACTACTACACTATACACTACACACTACATTCCTATACATTATACACTACTACACTATACACTCCTCTACACTACATTACTACACACTACTACACTATACACTCCTCTACACTACATTACTATACACTACTACACTATACACTCCTCTACACTACATTACTATACACTACTACGCTATACACTCCACTATACACTACTCTACACTATACACTACAACAGCATGTTGTGTAGTGGTGGTCCAGAGCTCCCTTTCCCTGGCGACAGACTCTAGCTCTACATTACTATACACTATACATTACTATAAACTACACTATTATACACTACACTATACACTACTACACTATAAACTACTACACACTACTGCACTATAAACTACTATACACTATTATACACTACAATACATTACACTAATTATACAGACTACACTATAAACTACTGTACACTACTAAACTATGAACTACTATACACTACTACACTATACACTACAATACACTACTACACTATACACTACTACACTATACACTACTATACACTACTGTACACTACTATGTGGTGCCACGACCGAGGTGCAACTACGCAAACGCCGCGACTCCCTCCCGCCCACCGCACTAAACACGCCACACGCACACATGCACACACGAAGGGCCCCTAGCGGGGATGTCCCACGGTTTCCCGGTGCCAGGAGATTGGCTGACCCCCCCCCCCCCCAGGCCAAATTACATTGCGGCCCCCCTTAGAGACGAGGCTCTAAGGAAAGCTGTCTCGGGTGTGGATCAATCAATTTCGAGGACAGTGCATACATTATCAGAGTTATGTTTTTTGTTTGCATTCCGACCGCAGGTATTGTGGTCAATGCAAACATGACTCCTTGTAAAAAAGGGGGTAATTTATGTTGCCAGATAAAAGGGTAAAAAAACAATTGTCATATTTTGCTACTAGCAAAGGAGGTTCCATTGATACTATACACTACTACACTATAAACTATTATATACTTCACTATAAACTATTATACACTACTAAACTATAAACTACTACACTATGAACTACTATACACAACTACACTGTGAACTACTATACACTACAACACACTACTACACTATGAACTACTATACACTACAACACTATAAAAATACTACACTATAAATTACTATATACTACTACACTATGAACTACTATACACTACTACACTATGAACTACTATACACTACTACACTATGAACTACTATAAACTACTATACACTATAAACTACTATAAACTACTATACACTATAAACTACTATACACTACTACACTATGAACTATTATACACTACTACACTATGAACTACTATAAACTACTATACACTATAAACAACTATACACTACTACACTATGAACTATTATACACTACTACACTATGAACTACTATACACTACTACACTATAAACAACTATACACTATACACTACTACACTATGAACTACTATACACTACTACACTATGAACTACTATAAACTACTATACACTATAAACTACTATACACTACTACACTAT